AAAGCTTGAAGCAAAATTTCCCAAAAGTCATTCTATCCTTTCCTGATTGCAGATTAATTTTTTTTTAATACAAGGCTTGTTACGATGTATTTTATTTAAATCTACAAAGAGAATTCTTTAAGATGTTGAGAGGTGATACTTTTCCCTCTTTGATATTTAAGTTGTAACAAATACAAATTATTATATTACCTTTTAGTGATTTTTTACAATATGCCAGAACTGTTAGAGGTTTTTATTAACTTGGTATTTTATTGTCCTTAAAATAGCCTTACAAAATAGTCATTGTAATTCCTATTTATTGGAGGAGGAAATTGAGCTTAGACAGGTCACGTAACTGCTCAGGGTAACAAATGGAAATGGTATATAGCAGGCATTCAAACCCGTGTCCAACTGACACCAACAATCTTGCTGCTTCCTTGCCCCTGCTATACTAGGCTTATCTTGACGGGGTTGGTGGGTTTGTCTATGTAAAAAGATAGTCTGGGCTTCCCGGAAAAAAAAGAGATGGGTTATCACCTATACTAAGCTTAAGTACTCTCCAAAAGAATCGTTTAAATGACAAACTTATCAGAGACCAATATGTTTTTGTACATAACAAAACCCAATAGCTCAATTCAAAGACCCCTACAGGCTCTATTGTCAGCTACCATTTTTATCTTACAAGGACCTAGGACACCCTTACTGCCGTTACCAACACAGAGCTTTTTTAGAAGTCCTGACTCAATAGATTTCATTCTTCCGAAATATGTCTGCACTCTCTTAAATATTCGGGCCCCAGTTTTCATAACTGTAACTGTATTTTTTCTGGAACTTTGATCTGTTCTTTCATTTGGGCCATGTTTTTGGTCTGCCCCTTGATTGGATGGGGCAAGCCTCAGTTACATATGAGGGGTGGAGCCTTAAGTGTTCACCAGGGTGGGGCAAGCCAGTTGCTGGGTTATGATGCTGTATGTGGGGGCAGGGTCTGAGAAGGAACAATGGCACTTGCTCAGCTCTCTGTCTGATTTCAGTCTCTTCTGCCCCCAACCAAACTGAGCCCTTTTGGTGCTGATTCCTGTGTGGGTGGGTTTGTGTACGTTCCAACACCCTGTGGGCCTCTCCAGCAAACTCTCCTGTGAGGCTGGGAGTCTCTCCCTGCACCTCAACCCCCTTAGGTGTTTTCAATTGGTGTTTTGAGGTTTTATTTTCCAGCCCTGGGGCCCTGGGTTGTGCGGTCTATCTCGCCCCCCAGTTTCACCTGGTTTACTTGCTCACAAATGTGGGATTGCCCAGGCCGCCAACCGCCTTGCTGGGTCCTCCTGCTGGTGCCTTGTGTGCCCAGGTTGGCCAGGCACTGTTTTTTGTTGTTGTTATTGTTTTGCCGCGACTCCTCTCCTCCCGACTACCCAACTCCACTCTTTCTACCTGTCTGGATGAATGTGTCTACTTTTTAACTCCTTGGTTGTCAGATTTCCATACAGTTCAATTTTCTGTCAGTACTGTTTTTTTTGTTTGTTTGTTTCTAAATTTTTGTTGTCCTTATTTTGGTTGTGGGAGGAGGCACACTGTGTGTACCTATGCCTTCATCTTGGCTGGAAGTTCCCTTTATCTTTTCAACCAGCCCCCAACCGCTTTCCCTCTGTCAACCATCAGTCTGTTCACTGTATCAATGAATGTTTCAATTTTATTTTGTTCTTTGGATTCCACATAAAAGTGAAATCGTATGGTAATCAAATCTGTCTGACTTATTTCATTTAGTGTAATAGCCTCTAGGTCCATCCATGCTGTCCACCCACAGATGTAAGATTTCGGTGTTTTATGGCCAAGTAACATTTCATTGCATATATGCACCACAGCTTTTTTATCCACTTGTCTATTGATGGGCACTTGGGTTGCTACCGTATGGGGAAGCTCAATCTTCTTTGGTTAGTCTATAGATTCAAATGTTAATCTCACCAAGATACACTTTTCAGACAAACACAGAACAACCTTTGGCCAACTATCTGGGCCACTCAAAGATCAGTAAAGTTGACACATAAAATTAGCCATTATACCTATTCTCCCATGATTATGAGAAGGAAAATTCCTAAGCAAATCTCAGTAGGTGCATGATTAAGGACCAGGTGATTGGAGAAAGCTATGAGAACCTAGTCTATTCCATATACTATATTCCTGCCTTCCCAGCACAAGAGCATTAACATTTGTTAAATGACTGAACTAATGGTTTGAGGAAGAGAAGTAACTCTCTAACTCTTTAAAAAGACTGAAGGAGGCAGACCTTCAGAGAGGCAGGTACAGACTGAGTAGGACCTCCTTGGGAGTCCATAATCCTCATGAGCCCCACTCCCTCTTTTTGCTCCCAGTTTTCCTGGGAAGCCTAGTACCATGTTTATTACTTCTATAGGGAAATGGATCCGGAGTGCTAAAGAACAAGCTTAAAACTTTGTGGTGTTTTAAATTGGGAATGCCTTCTTATACTGTTCATTACGGGAGAGGAATGTTACTTATATTACTATCTAAGAGCCAGAGGTTGCTTATATTTTTACCCCATTTCTCGTTATCTGCTTTTAGTATAGCTCCAGAAAGTTTGGCTAAAAATTAGCCAGAACATAAACAGGATGGCTGGTGGTCCCAGTCGCCTGCCATCAACCACGGCAGTGTGCCACACTGCTGCCTGGTATTACTATTGGCTGGCTCATATCCACAGAGCTCCTGTACATGACAAGTAATTGAAGTGGACTGTAATTCATTTTTGTATTTTTTTACCTCTTTAGGTTTAATTCCAAAAGAAATACACCTTTCAAAGGATTTCTTTGGACAAAAGGAAAGTATTATGGCAGATTATATTTTCCTTAAATAACTGCAACAATATCTCTCATTCCACATGCTCTTCTTATGAGATTATCATAAAAGTCAGTACAGCCACTGCCTTGCCCTCTTAGGAGTCTCTCTTGAAACACTCACTTTTGAATCATAGCTGCCAGGCAGTGAGAAAATAAGCAGCTACTTGAACAGGCCACATACAGGTATTCCAGTCAACAGTCCCAGCTAAGTTCCCAACAGCAGCCAGCATCAACTGCCAGACACGTGAGTGAACAGGCTTTCAGATTGCAGACCATGGCCTCAACTTTGAGCTGCTTCAGCTGATGTCATGTGGCACAAAGATAAGCTGTCCCACTGAGCCTTGCTCAAAATGCACATTTGTGAGCAAAATAAAGGATTGCTGCTTTTGAGGCCACTGAGTTTGTGATGACCTGATAAGTACAAATAACACTACTCTAGACACTTAACATATATTTAAATCATGTCCAATCTCTTAGGTCCATCTTATATTCTTTTGTAGCCAGTGAAAAATTCATGAAGGATACAGACAAAGGAACTATGTCCTTAGTCCTATATTTTCACAAAGCAATTCTTCTGCAAGTCCAAGAATCATGGTGACCTCAGCTGATCAGGTTATTTCTTGATTCAACTATACACCCTGTAACACCAATAGGGGCTGCAGAGCACAGGTGGCAAACATAAGGCCCTCAGGCCGAATCTGGCCTGGCACCTTGTTTCTACCTGGCAGCGGCACCAAGCTCCTTGCCCCTAGTTAAGGAGTAGTTACATTTACGCAGTCCTAAAATTACATTAGGCACTTTGAAGGCAACTCTGAGGCTGATGTGGCCCCTGGTGAAAATGAGTTTGATATCCCTGTTGTAGAGAATTTACTGGTATCTTTTCAGAATAAAAAGAATGAGGGGTTTCTTGATTTATTAAAATCTTTACACCTATAAAGTCGACTCCTACACCCTTATTCCAGTTCTTCCTGGAAATTTTGAACAGGGGGTTGACAGATGAAGGTGGGTAAGGGTTATTTTCACAACTGCTACCTGGACAATTCACACATTCTTTCCTAAGCCTTCCTAAAGGAGTGTGCTGGATGTTGGTGAATTGTTATCCTTTTTGTTTTGTAATGATTACAGTGTAAGGGGTTTCATCTTAGAAAATGTTTGGACTCTGAGAACAAATTTTAACTTAAAAAATACAACTAATCAGTAGTTTCTCCCTCTTCTTTGGCCTCCAAAATGTTTAAAACAACTGCTTACATGGAGGATTATTATGTGTAGTTATTGTGAGACTCCAAAGATGTACAGACATGGGCTTTTGATCTTTGAAGACGAGTTGTGTTACTAGTGAAAGTGAGGCAGCCATATTGTGGCAGAATCAGCCTTGAGGCAACCAAGAAAAAGCCCTATAGTTTTAATCAATTCTAAAGTTATTGTCCTGAAACCTAGCCCTATTAGTCAACATGTCAAAGCACTCAACCACATCCTTTTACTTACTAAAACCAGTTTCCATAGTCAAAACAAAATAATCTTTAATAGCCTTTTCCTGACTCGTTTCTCCTTTTCTTTTCCCCAGATCCTTTCTCTAGATTCCATACGCGCCTTTTCGCATTCAGCCTCTCTTACTTCACTGTTTCTTCTTGCTTATGTGGTTATCCCTTTTTTTTACATTAGCCTGCAGGAAGTTGCTACCTCCCAGCTCTTCATTCTTGGAATTCACCAGCCCTGGGTTATATCGTGTACCTTTTAGAAATAAGATTCGATAAAAAAAAAAGCTAAGGAAACCGTGCACTGGATTCCTAAATTTCATCCTTTTAAATGCACCGGCTACACCCGAGGCCTGTGGAGCCGGAAGACTGTGCTCCCAGCCCAAGAGATTGCGACGAGTAATTTTAAGCCTCAGGCAACCTCTGCAGACGAGGTAAGGAGCAGTAACAACAGTAACAAAGGAAGCGAAGCCTAGAAGGCGCCGCAAGCTTGGCCATCGCGGCGAGACAAAACCATAGGAGAATCCTGCACCCCTCCCACACTCCGAGCCGGGAATCTCACGCTCGGAAGGGCCAAAATGGCGCCGTCCTCGCGTTCGGCCCGCCGTGGGGGGCGGGGCCAGGCACCTCACGTGACCTCCCCCGCGGGCTGCGCGCCCCGTTCCCTTTGCCCCAGGCGCGCTCCGGGAGTCCCGCGGCCGCGCAGATCTTGCCCTACCCTTTTAGGGGCGTCCTTCCTAGTGCTGGCGTGGTTGCGAGGCTCTTTCCCAGTAACCGAGGGCCGGAGCAGGGTCAGAAAAGGGGGCGCTAGGCCGTGCAGAAGCTAAGGGGCTGTGGGACGGGTCCCTGCAGCTGGCGCCGAGAAAGGGAGGAGGAGACCGTGCTGGCGTCCTGGGGAACGGCCAGGTGCTGAGGGCGAGGCTGTTGGGGCAGATTCACGGCGTTCCTCCCAGGCCGTGGGCGCCGTCGGGGACTGGGCCCCCACCTCGGGGCTCGACCACTTGGTTTGGTGTCTCATCGTCCTCGAGCCTCGAAGGCCGTAGAATTGAAAAACGGCTTCAGCCAAATTCTCCCTTCCCTCTTAGGAGAGGGGCTGAGCCCGTCAGCCTAGGGGACTCCAGAGGGATGTCCCGGCCCTCGGGGGCTGGGGGGAATGGAAGAGGCAGAGGTTGAAAGGGGCGGCGAGAGCGGAGAGCTCCCTCCTTGACCATCAAATGCATCCTTTAGTGTTTCCACCTCCGTTTACTGGGCTTGGCAGTGCTGACCACCCAGGAGGAGGGACGGGCGACACTCGGCCGGCTCTGACCGGGCCACCTTCAAGTGGGCGTTGACGGGGACCCAGGAGGGAACGGGCATGGGGCGCAGCCTCGCCCTACTCCCTCCCCGCCTCCAAAGCGCTGGGGCTGGTGATGTGGCGTCGTGAGGGGATCCGAGGCTGCCCCGGGTTCTCCAGGACTCCCCTAGGTACCCGCGCGTCTCCCTGCGCCCGGGGCAGGAGACGCTGGCGTGGAGCTCGAGGCGGGCGGGCGGGCGGACGCGCGGGCAAATAGCAGAGCCGGAGCCCCAGCTTAGCCATGGGGTATAACGGCAGCTGGATCTTCAGAAACGCCAGCGACCCGCGCAACGCGTCGGGTACCGAGGCGGCAGGCGCCAACCGCAGCGCACTTGGGGAGTTCGTCGAGGCTCAGCTGTACCGCCAGTTCACCACAACTGTGCAGGTCGTCATCTTCATAGGCTCGCTGCTCGGTAAGACGTCCGCGTGGGCGCCTTCTAGGGGGTTTGCCTCCGGGGCACAGGAGCCCATCTGTTGTTCTCTGTGTGGCAAAGTGCAGATAGTTGAAGGAGGCTGAAGAATGCCCGGGTAACTGCGGGGAAGTTAAGCAGGGACTGTCGACTCCAGCCCCTCTCTGGAAGCTGAGGAGTTCGGGTAGGGCTTTCTCCCGGCCTGAGGAGCGTTCTCGGCCAAGGCCGAGGTCACCCTCCCCAGGTCCCCTTGCGGAACACTTCGGGATGGGTGCCCATCATTTCTTACATCTTGCGTCCCAGGGCAGAGCGCTGGCCCGTGCTCTTGTTTACAAATAGCGAGGAACAAAGCTTCTGTTTTGTTGCTGATGACGGATGTCTTTTCCTATCCCGTCTATTCCCTATATGTAAAATCATTTTGAAAGAGCCTTATTTTTGCATGGCTTGCTTTTTCAGAGCATCGACCTGCTGGTAAGCAACCCTGTGGAGTTAAACTCTTGCGGTCAGACGTTTTTAAACACCAAAACAAAGTCTCGTCTATTTCTCTACCTGTGTTTTGTTTGAAGTACAGAATAAAGACTGGATTAAAAAAACCACTAAACACCACACACAACAGTTTTAGGTATAATTGTTTGGAAGAAAAGATCACTGAATAGAATTAAGCCACTAGTAAAAAACGTTTCTCCACTAGTGTGAGAATTACCAGTAGTTCTGGTAGCTACTCTTTAAGTGATAAATGGTACAATCAGTATTCATTTCTGTTGAGCTTTGTTGAACGTGTTGCATATTTCTTGTAAATTTGTGGCTTTGCTTTAATGTAAATTTTCTGATGTGGCATTTATAATATGTACAAAGATTATGACTGTGTGTGATTTTATGACCTATAGCAGTCAGTATTAAAGTTTCAATGTAGGAATAAATTACTTTTTGTAGATTCCTATGAATTTCAGTGGAAACCAAGATAACTGATATCAAAAGACATTGGAAGAATTTTAAGTGTTTGGAATTTCTCTATTGTTATCATCCTGACTCAGTCTAATATAATATTTATCTTCCACTTTCTGTCATGATGGTATTTTCAGGAGTAAACATCTATGTGGCTGTGTCTAGGTACTGAGTATGTGTGTGTATGTGTAAATATGTTTTTATGAGTGGAATGTTAAATATACACTGACAAAGCAAAAGCTTGTTTTTGAAGTACTTTCAATATTCATTTAACAAACAACTGAGGGAATACTGATTACCTACTAGGTACCAGACCCAATGCACTGTAGGTTATTAAGAGTTAAATTCTAGTGTTGCCACATTAACTTAATGTAAATGTACATTATTGGGAGGATAGTGAAAGTGCCTACATTTTTATTTCTGCGTTTTTCCTATATGTCTATATATATGGTTTGTTCTGTTTTCCCCCGGGTAGCTTCAGCCCTGAAGATGGTGTTGGGAGAAATTTTCCTATAGTCTAATAGAAGGCAGAGCATGTGTGTAAAGGGCAGGGCAAATGGAGCTTCCCTTCCTTCCTTCCTTCCTTCCTTCCTTCCTTCCTTCCTTCCTTCCTTCCTTCCTTCCTTCCTTCCTCCCTCCCTCCCTCCCTCCCTCCCTCCCTCCCTCCCTCCCTCCCTTCCTTCCTTCCTTCCTTCCTTCCTTCCTGATGGAGAGAAGAGTCACTGATTTTTGTTGTTTCACTTATTCACTCATTCATTGGTTGCTTCTAGTATGTGCCCTGATCAGAGATAGAATCTGCAACCTGGGTGCATCTGCCCAACACTCCAACCAACTGAGCTGCCAGGCAGGGCAAATGATACACATTTAACAAATGTCCTGCTTCCCATCTAATACTTCTGTTTTTGTAACTTGCATTGGATTCAGGAATTCCTATGTAAATCTGCCCCTATTTCAACTCTTTTCCCACAAAGTACTTAAATTGACACGCCAAATCTACTTCTGTGAATATTTCCAAACAGGAGACTGATTTTCCCTTTGATCTCATTATATTTGAGTTGGTTGAAGGGGGCATATTTTCCCCTCCACATTACTTGGGCTCTCCTAAGAGAAAATTCTATTTGGTCCATTTTAGTTTCAGAAAAAGTAAAATGGTTAAATATGACATAAATATGGTTAAATGTCTAGAAATCAAAAGTCAGAGAGAAAAGTGAAAGTGAGCAAAAGTGAAAGACACTTCAGTTTCCGTAAAAGCTTAGCTAAATAACATTCCCCTGTGTACTTGTTGCTTAGTGCTATTCTTGATTCATTGTTCTCTGAGAACTTGACCCATACAAACACATCTATGTAATTGAATCTTCCAGGTGATAACAGTTGAGGCTCAGAACCTAAGTTCCAGAGTCATGTGCAGTCTGTTGCAAGGCAGTTAAACTTGGGAAGCATAGTTTAATGAAGCATTCCCCCCCAGTAGAAAAAAAAAAGCAGAGATTAGGAATAAAAAGATTTCTCATGGAAGAATCTGTATGGCTGAAAAGTAAATGGAGGATGGAATAGTGTCTAGAATAGCATTTGACTCGAATCCACATTTTTCCCCTGTCCCAAAACATAAATGAATAAATCTTTGTTTTCTCTTTTCCCTTTAAATAAATTCAAATATACTTCCTTTATTCTCTAGAATTTTTTGTTGGAATTTCCAGAGGCCCTCTATTATTTGAAAATAATTCTGTGGGGGAGGGGGAATTTTTCCCTTGTTCCCTCATAGTTCTTTTGGCTGGTCTAATTGAATTGTTGTGAGACTGATTAACAGGTGTAAATAACCAAATGTATTATGTATGCACATACAGGAGTTTTGTAAGAATATGGGACCTGAGGACAGATCGGGTAATTGGGGATTATGTGCCATCTTGAACTAAAGAGAAAGTGGGTAGTGGTTTGGACTTCAAAGGAAGGAAGGCAGGTAGATGAGCAAAATTTGGTAAACAAATTCTTGCTGGCCCATCTAGAAACAATGGGACTGTGAGGGGATTCTAAGAAACAGTGCTAGGTTCCTCCCTGTCTGCCACACTAAATTCATTCATATATTCATTCATTCATTCCTGGAACAGGTTTTTAAAATCTGAATTCCATGAGGCAGACAAAGGGGAGAGCCAAAGGTGCTTCTGAGTTTTTTTTTTCCTGAAAAACAACCACCTTAAAATATTCAATATCCCCAAAAGACATTTTAGTGTGGCAAACTGTTTTTCTTCAATGCCTTTGTACTACGGGTGCCTTACAGCTCTTTCTTTGAAAACCATTTTAGTGCCCAGGATTAGGAAAAATCCCCAACAACTTGGAATAACTGTAATATTCCAATTGTAGGAAACATTAATTGCTGTGTATTTTACAACTAAAGAATTATATACAATATTACTGAAATAATATTTCTCCTCAATACCCTGAGCCCTAGGCAACCACTCATCTACTTTCTGTCTCAATGGATTTGTCTGTCCTGGATATTTCATATATTAGAGTCATATAATAGGAGGTTCTTTGTAATTGGCTTCTTTCACTCAAAATAGTGTTTTCAGGGTTCATCCATGTTATAGCATGTACTTCATTTGGGTTGAAATGTAGCATATACTTATGGCTATTAAGCATAATGCTACTATGAACATGTGTGTTGTTTTTATGTGGACATAATGTTTTCAGTTCCCTTGGATATATGGCAAGAGTGATATTTCTGGGTCATATGGTAACTTGATAAATTATCCTTTTCAGGACTTGCCAGACTGCCTTCTTAAAGTGGCTGCGCTATGAGGGAACTTTCCTACCAGCAGTTCATGAGTGTTTCAGTTTCTCAACATCCTTGTTAACATTTATTATTGTTTTTATTATAGCCATTCTAGTGGGTGTTACATGGTGTCTTATTGTGACTTTGATTTACATTTTTCTAATTACTAATGATATTGAACATCTTTTCATGCCCTTATTGGCTATTTGTATATCTTTTTTGGGGAAATACCTGTTTAGATACCTTACCCATTTTTAATTTGGGATATTTGCCCCTTGGTCACTGAGTTTAAATTTCCTTATATGTTCTGGATACTAGGTCCTTATTAGGTATATGATTTGTAAATATTTTCTTTTATTCTGTGGGCAGTGTATTAATACTTACTTCGAAGAAACCCCAAATAGTAATTCTAAAGAATATGTGCACCCCTGTGTTCATTACAGTGTTATTTACAATTGCCAAGATTTAAAAGCAGCCCAGGTGTTCATCAGTAGATGAGTGGATAAAACAGGGAGGGTACATTTACACAATGGAATAGTAATTGGCTGTAAAAGAGAAGAAAAATTTTACCCTTTTCACAGTTTGGATAGACCTGGAGAACATTATGCTAAGTGAAATAGCCAATTAGTGAAAGAAAAATACCATATGATTTCACTCATATGTGGAATCTAATGAACAAATTGATCTAAGAAGTAATATAGAGACAGACTCATAGAGAGCAGGCTGACACCTCTGGTGGGGGGTTTAGGAGTTGGCGGGGTCGAGCAAAAAAGAGAAAACTCATGGACACAGACGGCAGTGTGGTGATGGCGGGGGCGGGTAGATGTGGAAGAGAGTACAGGGGGGGATAAATGGTAATGGGAAAAATACAATAAAATAAAAATTTAAAAAAGATTTGTTAATCAGGTAATTGCTTTTTTCTCTGGTCCTTGGATTCTTCCACACAGACTAGCAGTTAGCCCTTTTCATGTGTGTTAATATTGCCTTGTTTTTGTTCGGGCTCAGTCATGTGTACCTGCTGGGATGCAAATAAATGAACTGGCTGCATCGTAAATATGCTACATTAAATTATTCCTGACGGGAACTGATGTCATCTAAAATAACTCACTGTGGAATTATTTGAAATAACTGTAGCTTTCCAAATGTTCCAATAGCAATGAGCCCATTGGAGCAGGCATACTGCTCCAACAACCAAAAGTTTGGTTGTTGTATTTTTTTTTACCTGGTTCTGTTATGTTCTGGACTTTAGCCTGTGGTCTGTGCTACTGAAATAAAGAAATCTTTGGCCTTT